CTCTCTTGATTTTCGTAAACATTTTTTCTTTAGTATAAATCAAGTTTCTGTATTGTCTAGTTCCTATTATATGACAAAAAACAATATATCTATTTTTCTATTAAATGAAATGAAATTAACAAAAGAAAGCAACCCAGGAAAATAAATAAAAAAATAATCAATTCAACAGTATTCCCTGTATATTACAGGCCATGTAGACCTTATATGTTTTAGTTTATCAAGTTTCGAATAAATAAATAAACAGCTCAAGTACACCACCTTTAGGTTTTAGATTAGCCATTTCATTTTAAAATGGGTTCTCTTGTAAGATGTACACTACGGAACAAAAATATCATCCCTCTTTATCTTTTCATGATGTCAAACTATGTAGTAAATTTATAAATGAGTAGAGATATGACATGAAAGTTTTATTTCATTTTCGTGTACAGATCACACTAATAAATCTCTCATGTCATATCTTTACTCAGTAATAAATTTAATACAAAGTATAGCAGCATAAAAAGATAAAGTAGAAGAAAGACCTCTGTCGAGAAATTTAGGTTTTAAACAGAACTTCAGAAAATGTGAAACTATTCAGAAGCTCATTTTAATACATTTCAGGACATATTGCAGAATGCTTTCAAACCTCGCATAGCATTTATAAAAGTTTTCTACAACATAACGGAAGAGACATTGCTGAAAAATAACGAAATACTATAAACTAACCCGAAATAATTGTGGCATTTCGTTTTTTTACAACAAACTTCATAGTATCCATGAGCTCATTTACATGTCACAACTAGACGTTCGTCAAACCTGAACATTTGCATTTGATGAGTTTCTTTGAATACTTGTTGACTCGAGTTTAGGCATTTTTCTTCATTTTCATCTGTACAGTTTCAATATATTTTTTGACTTTTAAGTAGAAATTTAGAAAGAAACTGAGTCTCCTATATAAGCATTTACTTAGCTCAAACTATTAATTGAGATAGTGTTGTCTGTGACTATCGGTGGTCAATCAGAACATAAACAGTCGGTGATAATAAAAAAAAATGCAACTATGGAATCAGTCTTCATCGAAAACTATACGGTTTTCTAAAAATTTTAGATTATAAAGATGTTTTAGTTTGTCCCCCTTATATATGCAATACTGTAGTTTTAATGAGTTGTATGCATCGCTCGCTTACTAATTTATCTATAATTTGCTATCAAAATGGTTTTTCCAAGTGATAAACTACTGAAGCAGTTTGACATATACGCATATGTGTTTCCCACTATAACCAAACAGTAAAGTATATCTTACAATTGTTAAGATTTTAAATTTAGGTAATTCGTACATTAAGGTGAATATCGAATAATAACTATAAAATGAGGTCTAATTTACATCTGCATTATTGTTTTCTGCAAGGATTCAAAGATTGGAAACAAATTATTGATAATGATCTGTTCCATGCTCGTGAAAAGTAATTAGTCTATGGCAGATTTATTGAATACATAGTTAATAACTGTATCAAGTATATGAAAAAGAAATTATTGCCTAATTTTTTCTAAACAGCATTATAATAGAATAACTACTTTTTATTATGCTAGTTTTCAGTTTTCGACATCCAAAAACTACATTTTCTAGAAGGCTTTAGAGTAAGGAAGGTTGAGTAACCACAAATAAACGCTGTGAAGTGCCAGCTACATATACACAAAATATTAAGTAATTAGCTGCAATCATTGAAATAATTGCTCCTGACCTCTTTTTTCTATCAACTGTGTTCCCTGCACTGAAGAGTCGCGACCAATACTTCTATCTGTATATATGGCAAACTATTTAAAAAAATTGCTCTATAAGAAACCCAGATTACGACGACGTCGAAACCTTGAAACATTTCTTACGAACCTAAAATACCTTCAAAAAAACTTGTCAGGGATCTGCGATACTTTTTCAAGGTTTCGTAGTTTTCCACAAAATCTTCATTGGTTTCGTCTGGTACTTTTTTTTTCAGTGAAGTCTATCATTAATTTACCTTTTAGAAAAATTTTCTATCAAAAAATTCTGACATTCTTGTTGTTTGCAAGATAAAATTGAAAACTAATTCTAATTCCGATGCGATTTTTACATCGAATGAAAAATTAAGAGCTTCAGAAAAATTTTTAACAAATTGAGGAAAAAGCAAGGTGTCAAACGAACGTGATGTTAGAGTAAAGCCTAGCGGAAAATGAGAGAATTTTAGTTGAAATAATACTTTGATGAATACTGCTGTAAAAGCAATGAGCGAACTATTTTTTAGGTTGATTTCAATTGTTCTGCTCACTTTAGCGTGAAACGCAGTTTGAATAATTGAAGTCTGCTAAATACAAGTAAAACAGCGTGTTTTGACAAAAACGTACTGATTATTGTCATGAGCTATCGAAACTCTATGAATTTCCTAACAATCACTTTAATAGTTTACAACAAAAACGACCCATGGTATAAATTTCTGCGAAAAAAACGCGTTCTGAAAACGCATTTTTCCATAGCTGCGAAACGCGTTAATGCTGACCGGTTTGACGCGTTTCACATATGCTAAAACAAACGCTGTGTAACGATTGTTTTTGTGAAAAATTTCGCAGCGTTTCTCAAACTGTGGTGTCGTAAATTCTAGATGGAAAAAAAATTGAAAATCGTCAATGACTTCATAGATCTTGCATTACAGGTACAATTTATGTATTCGTTTACATTTTTTCATAGACCTTTAGAACTATAACTTACATGAATTTTGATGTAGTCAAGACATGGATTCGAACACGAGAACATAGGAGTATAAGACATGTATACAAACCGTTCAACTAAAACAATCTAATGACATAAGTGTTTATTCTACTGTCATTTAGAGTCCCGCATAAACTTACTAAATTAGATTTTCAGTTTCCATTCCACTGAATTAAAAATTATCATTTCTTTGGTGCCTATATCCATTTACGAGTGTGGTCTTTTCTTGATACATTTTTTATTTAAACTCTTTCAGATTTAAATTTAGATACACAATAGAAACGAATTTAATCGATTTACACTGTATTTAACATCTAAAAAATTAAATTTCTTATATATAAATTTTAAAAAATTTTAAAATTTAATCTTTTATTTATTTTCTTGATTAGTAGATTTTTGTAAATGTAAATCCGTCATCGTTTTATCCAATTACATCAATAAATGAAAGGAGTTTTCTTTTGTAAATCGAATCTCTTTTATTAAAAAGTCACTCTTACTTCAACAATGTACAAACTAAAATCATGTTTACTAGTATTGTACACAGTATCATTAGTTATTATCAATTAGTTCGAGTATGAACTTAAACTAATAATTATTCAAATTATAGATAACGCGATAATTCTTTTGTTCACAAATAACCAAAGAGAGTTGCTATACTAATTATATTAGTATCAGTCTTTACTAAATCTTTTCGAAATGCTCAATATTTAAAACGACCTGTCCACATAAAACGTGATTCCGTCACGCTTTATTTGTTTTATTTCATACAAATGACTCGATCTCTAGAATCCAATGCATTTGCAATCTTGGACAAAAAATTGTGCTTGTCAAAATGAGACGCTACAAATTTGTCTGTAACTTCTCATTCATTACAAACGAGCGTGACGGAATCATCTCCCTCCGTGGACAAGTCGAAAACAGTGCTTAAGTAAACCTTACGAAACACGTTTTCTTTCAATAAAAACGTGGTGAAATGAGTTTTTAAGCAAGAAGAATATATTTTTGTTACACTTTGATGTTTTACATTAGTCTAACTTCGAATTAGGTCTAGATAACAGCCTAGCAGCCTAAAAATTTCCAAGACTTTGATTTTAGTCTTGCCTTCATAAAATCCTGAGTCATGATTTTCACGTACAAAAATAGTGCAAGGAGCAAAACTTTCAAGTACTATTTCATATCATTTCCAAAGTAATTTCAAAGAATTTACTTTGCTTAACTCCTATGCTTTGTGTTGGTGAATTTCTGCAAGATTCTGTATGCAGAATGGATATATTTTGCATCATTCCAAGCAAAAACAATGCAACACATTTGAAAAAGAAACGCGTTTTACGTTTCCCCCAATTTGTATCTGTGGAACGCGTCGCCTATCGACCAAAGTGCGTTCGACAGCATTTTAATTCGGAAACGCCTCGAAACGCAATCTTGAAAAAAAGCGTTTCGGATCGTTTCAAAAAACGACTGTGGCAAAACGCATTTTATGTAAGTAAGAATGCTGCGAAACGCGTCCTATATTGCAAAAACGTTGCGAAACGCATGCTACAATCTCGGAAACGCGTTACGCAGTCCGTTTCCTTCAATATTTTACTCCATGGGGATCAAATGTATGTAGTATACCATAAAAAACGAGCGATTCTGTTTAAGGTGTTAGAATGTGTCATCATATGCATAATTCTATTGTAATCGTATCATTAAGATGATCTTCTATGTCCCATAACAGTAAGAGAAAGGCACTTACTCACTTGATCGTTGACATGAGAGTTCAACACCTAAGACTATTAAACTAAAATGTCGTTACTAGATTCAACACTCATAGCAAAGAAAAATCGATATGAAAATTATGAGTGATAATCATTGTTTTGTGCTTCAAAGTGGGCGAACAAAGTGTTTTGTGACTTCATCATCAGGCATTGGTGTATAAGCCCAACGTTTCAAACAATTTGAATTGCTTGTAAACATAACTCACAGCGTATGGCATTTTTTGATTAAAAAAAAGCTTGTACATTGTAAGCACCTCACATATTATTTCTGGGACTCTTTAATCAGTAATTAATTACGTATAGATAATTTATTAAGCAAAGAATTAAGAAATAATGTTAGTAAATGAGAACTTTCTTGAACTAGAACATTTTCCAAATTACTTGTAAAATTATACTCAACACTCAATTCTTCACTATCAGATTATTTAGAGCTATCAAGTGTGGTGAACTGTCTTTGTACGATAGTAGTAAATTTGATGCTAGAAATGATAGAACTACAAATTAATATAATATTTCCTTGTTTAATGTTGTTTCTTGCAGTTGTTCAATGTCCAAAAAAAATTTGTTTTCAATATTTGAAAATATTACACTTGAACAAAAAGTATTTCAATACACGTCATGATAGATGTTACTGCTCAAAATGTTATGGACCTTCAAAACCGAAAGGCTATCCAGTAGGCAAGCCTAAATTTACAGTGCCCATAGGTTGGGTATCGTTTGGAATTCAAGTAGACAAAGCATTTGTTTCCAATAATCAAATATTTAAAAAATGGTATACAACATTCTATGGGACATCAAAAGATAAACTTGACGATATCATTCACAATCGGTTCATACCATTTCCTGGTGATGATCTTCTATCGGGTAAAAAGTTTGTTCTTAATCTATCAGATCAACATCATATTTATACATCGCCTTCAATAAATTATGCTTCTCTTGATCATGTATGTCCCACTGATAGAATGCAGATCAATAATGACTGGTACGATTTTCAAGTGGTGCTTCAATGTAAACAGAACCCAGCATATATAGAAAAAAATCCCAGTGGTAAACCGAATGTTTGTAATCTCCTTCCAAATACCAATATTCAATGGAAAACCGATCAACGATCATCTGTAGTGCCATATAATCTTTTGATTCATGCTAAAAAATGCTCAACTGTCTAGAATTGATTTGAATCTAATAGTTAAGAAGTTGGCTGAAATTGTGTACTCTATTATATCAATTGATGTCATTGAGCAATTTTATTATATTTTCTAAACATATTTTTTTACATGAAAATACATCGACTAAGACTAGGCTCATGTATTCTAATATTTCTTTTACTATCTTCAACTTTCATAGCATCAAATAAAATACAACAAAATTCTTTTCAAGGTATTTAAAATAAATTTTACTTTTATTCAGTATATGTTTTTGCGCTCTTGAACTCACCCGAACTTTATTTTTAGATCTTCCATAGATTTGCTCATATCTTCGAAAATACGAGTCTAATAAAAACCTTGAAATCTAGATTCGAAGGAGAAAACAAAACTTTGATTTAAAACCAATATTTTACAGCTTTTATTGATCATCTTAATTGGTCAAAACTTTCGTAGTAAATGCTTTATGTTCTACAATTAATTCATCGAAAAATAAATATAAGCATTAATACATAACATATCATTGATATGACACGTCAATCAATACCAATGTAAGTCATAGTTTGATACTTTCGTAGTTCTGACTCAAAAGTGTTTAATATATTTTTTTTTGAAAGTATATTTTAACTCTAATTAGTAAAAAGCAACTATAAAAAGAATGAACGAAATAAATCTCATTTGTATTTAAATAAATCCAAAACGTAAACAAATGGTTACGTATCAGTTGAATTTTTTGGTCCTGTTTGACTATAACTAAAAGTTTATTGACCCACACCTAAAACTATGATGATTTGAATCTCCTTTAGCAAAAACAAAATGCTTAAGAATCATATTTTCAATAGATAATTCTATGAATAGTCAACCACAAAAAACACAAAGTTTATAGAAGATTTTTTTTTCATCTGTAGAACTTGAAGAAGCCCATTGCGTTGATGATTTTCTTTAAAAAAAATATTCAAATCTACTCAGTCAATCATGATGCTAGAACCAAAATACTCTAAAATCTCAACTTTTTAATGCCATTGCAGATAAATGAAATAGGTTCAGATATTTATTCTTAAAATAGATAAATTAATTATTTATTTTGATAATCAAAACAAATTTTTATGTTTACAAATAGTATAATTAGAATTACATTAAGATAAGAATCTTTTTATCAAAATTACTTAATTATGCTTGCATAATTTATAACTATCAATCATCAACGATATAGTCGAAGAATACATGAATGAATAAATCTAGTTATTTTACCTATTATTACGGAATAAAATCTGTTTTGCGTACTATTGATTATTTTTATCATACATACACTACAAATCATTCAATCACTCAAATAAAATGATTGTATAAAAATTAAACCAATAAAAATCGATGTCTATACTTCACTCACTCAGCAGCTGCTGTTCTGTGCTTGTTTATTATTGATACAAATAAAGGTTTTTTTTTTTTTCTTACTCAAGGCAAAACCATGGATACTTCTAATTTTAATAATAGTGTAAACATCAAGGATTTGTTATTTAAAAATTTTAATTGACAATTTTTTTTTTATTTCAAGGCAGTAACTGTTGTGACAATTCAACCAAGTCAACATAATAATTCTAAAACAATCGGTATGATCAAATTTTGTTTATGAATATATGTAATATTTATTTTTGTTTTTTTTTTTAATTAGATCCATTAGCTAAAATTCGTCCAATAATATCAAAGAAACCACATCTAGTACAATCTCTTGTGCCTTCTAAAACAATTCAAATTTCATCTGGATTTAAGTATGCATTTCTTATTTAATTTTTGATTTTATTTAATTTTTTGTTTTTCGTTTTTTAAGAATTCCTAATACACGAATTCAATCAACTGATAATGATACATCATATTTACCTTTGGTAACAATTAGTGACAATGAACATTCTGAGTTAGTCTTTTTAAATATTGTAGAAATTACTAACAAGTTTAGCTTGTTGGACCTTTTGATCTTGAACGATTAATATCGATTTTATTTCAATTCTCTTTATATGTAACAGTTTTATAATCCTTTGGTAACGTACATAGTAACAGCCTAAGAAAAGCTTATCAGTGCAGCTCCTTCAGGGATAAAATGTGGAACTCATATGTGTTATTTAGCCACATTATACTAATATAAGAGACGTGAGGTAAAAACATCTCTAGAAGACTAACTGTTTTTCAAGGATAATGGAGCGTCAAAAACAAAAACGGTCTGTCTTACTTATTTCTGTATTTTGAATAGATTTTCTTCTGCTGTCGTTCTATTTATTGATTGCCTTGTTGCTATTCGCTCGTTGTTTTTCATTATCATATTCCGTTTTCCTCAATTTAAAATTATTATTATTCTAACCATTGATTTAACTAGTAAATAAGTTTATTATTTGATTAGTTCACGCTTTTTATATTGATAATATGACGATCGTGATGAATTAATAAATCATTAGTTATTATCCTTTACATCTTGAATATAAATTTTTATCTATATAAAAATCAAAAGCTACACTATTTAAAACAAACATGAACATATTCAAGTCATTCAAATTTCGAAGAAGACTTTGAAATATTCTAAAACATTTTAAGTCTTGTTGTTAATTCCATTCAGTACATTTTTCCTTGTTAAGAAACTAAGGACAAGATTTTTATAAATTTTTGCTGTATTAATATGTATTATTGCACATAAGCCTATTCAATATTTAAGCAAACTATCTCAAAAGAGTAAATTTAATTAATTGTTTGTTTGTTTGGTGATTCTATACTTTCACTTAACCATTAAACACATTCGATGATTAAAGCTTTTTGTAAAATTAAACATGTCGAAGCAATAGTCTGTCTCACGAGAAAATTCGTCCAATTGATAAATCGTTTTTAAGTTGAGACGAATGAGCTATAAGTACCTTGAAAAAAAGTTCGTCTCCTTAGATTTTCTTCAATGAATGTCATAATTCCTCTCAGGAACATCAGAAAAAAACTGATTTCCAAATTTCAACTAGAAGCTTTCCATACAAACAGGGCTTAGCGAGAATAGATTCTCTGAAATGTTGTAAGTATTTTAATTCATTTCTATTCTGAAATAAAAGCTTTAAATCTGCCGAGTTATATTGGAATGATATCAAAGACATGTTATTACCATTGTTGTAGTTTAGGATAGGAACAATGATAAGATCTGAAATATTTACAAAAAACTATTCTCGTTCAGACCTATTTCTATGGAAAGTTTCAAGTCATAATTCAGAAATTAACTTTATTAGTGTTTCTGACTGGAATCACAGCATTTATTCAAAATCTATTGTAAGTGTAGGGTCTCCGCAGCAATGAGTCAAAAATACGAACTCTTTTCCTAGTATTCATAGTTCACTTGGTTCTACATAATTCACACAGTTTCGGCTCAGAAACGACTTATTAGTTAGAAGACTTCTCACGTCAGATTAATATTTGAAATATACTAAACTTCTCATATTAAGGATATTCTTCCATTTTTTCCTATGATCTTTCAAGAACAGCTCGATCAAAAATTCTGAAACTTTTAAAGTGGACAGATCTTGACCAGTAGAGCATAAGTTGCTATAGATTGAAAATTTCTGAATCCCTCACCCACAATCAATCATAATTCTTTTTTTTTCTTTAAAAATATTATTTTCTTCGCTTAGGAGCATTAAAATAATGAAAGTCCTGTCATAAAATGTAGTTTTTTGCCTAGAGCAAGTTTTATAAGATCCTCTAAAAATTACCAGAGCATTATTTGAAGAGAACAAAAACTATACAACTCGATTTGATTCAAGTTATTATACAAAACATTTCAGCTTCATTGGTTGAAGTGTCTGAAAGAAAAACGTGAAACAATGTACAATTTTCAATGGTTTTATTTTTTTAACGTTTAATGACAATTTTTCTATTACAAAAGCAGGACATGATGTCCTTAATCCAATGTCTTTTAAAGAATACGTACAAAGATTTGTAATTAATCATAAACATAAATTGTGAATATATTCAATTAAAATACAGTCTTCGAGCAGAAATATCTCCAATACATACATATAAATAATTAGTTATATTATTATCATTTAGATTGCTTATGAACATGAAAATTATAATGTAAGATAAGATAGATCATTTATAGCAGAAAGAAAAGCAAGCTGTTAGCATACATCCCTGAGGGATTAAAATGTAAAACACGATGTAGCTGCTGTCGATAATCATAACGAAGTAGATTTTAGCTTTTCTATCTATTTTGACGATATGGCTTCATTATACTTTTAATTAAATCTTCAGAAACGCAATAAAGAAGTAGTTCCTACGTCATAACGAGACATTCTTGATATGAGGTCTGTCATTGTATATCAATGTCTGTCACGAGCTATGGCGGAGGAGGGGGAAGGGGGGAGAGAAGGGTGTAAATCTTTATTCCCTATACTTCAATATAGCTTTTAAATTTAATTTCATACAAACAATATTTTCATCTTTTCTAGTGAAGATGATTTTGTTTTGCCAGTACAAAAATTAACAAAAGAAGAATTACGTGAAGAATTAAAAGTATTTCAATCAACTAATTCTATTAGTCATGCTTTACTTGCTAATGACAATGATGATAATGATATAGATGAATTACAATTCCGTACACAACAACCATTTAATCGTTCTGTTTGTTGTTATCAATATCCATTTTCATTTAAAAATAGTTCATGTATAATTTTATAAATATTTTAATCATTTGTTTATTTTTTTTTGTCTTTTCTAAGTCAGATAAATATTCCTTATTTTTATTGTTATATCTATTTATTCAAATAAATAAATTTATTGCTATTTATTTTAGATTGATGTCTGATTCAAGTAATAACAGAAAATCAAAAGAGACTAAATCAAATCGAATGCTTACCTTTATATTATAGAATCTTTAATTGATATTGTTAAACATGAACAAGGTCATTTTGATGCTGAAAATATTTTATTTCTTGATTTAAATTCTCGAAGTAAGATCACTGAAAAAAAAAGAATAATCTGCTTATTTTTGTTTTTTTTTTCTTTTATAATATTGATCAAAATATTATTTGAATAATTAGATCTTACTGATGCTAATAGTCTAAGCATATGTCGTAATTTAATTATCTTAAATTTAAATAATAATAATCTTACAAATGTACGTGGTTTTGGTACACTTACACAATTACAAAAACTTTCATTAGCTCAAAATCAAATTAATTCCTTAGATGGTTTACAATCATGTGAAAATTTAGAAATTCTTAATGTTGCCGGAAATAACCTTACAGGGTGAGAAAAAACTCGACATAGCTTTGTAAATATCCTTGATTATGAATGATAAATGTACTATGATTGACACATGTCTGTCTTTTATATATAAGATGATAAAAATGATGATAAAACGACAATGATAACAATAAGTTACTGTTGGAATATACAAACAATTTTGCGAAACAAAAAAAGAATATTGCCTAGTAAAAGTCAAGAACTTTTGTTTATGGGTACTATACACACAAGAATGTATATCAATGAATTTATCTCTATGGGTAACTTAAAAGGCTTCCGATATGTACTTGTTGAGCGATATTGTTGTTGATTGTTGAAAAAAGTAATTTGTCAACAGGATCACTCCTAGATCTTTCATCAAATAGTATATATGAACTAGTAACCTTGTAGTGGACGTTTCTATTCTTCTGAACTATTTTAGAATTCTGTCAAATGTATTCCTTATAGTTACTCTGTTCTAAAAGAAATTACACATTTATCCAAATTTTTTATCTTTAGACTTAAATCTCTTGCTCCATTATTATATTTAACACATTTACGATCATTATGTCTGAACGATCGACAAAACAATCTAACAAATCCTCTTTGTAATTCTTCATCTTATCAAAAAGATGTAAAAAACAATTTACCCAATCTTGGTATTCTTCATTCGACATTCAATACATAAAAAACAAAACAAACTTTTTTTTTCTCCGTTTTTTAATAGATACACTTGATAATGAATGGCTTGGACAAGGTTTTCAAGAACATCTTTCTTCATTAGAATCTGCTATTGAACAATTAGAAACTTTGAATGGTAATTCTAAACCAATGACTAATGAAAAACCAACAATTATTATTACACAAGCAACTAGTTCCGATCGTTCCATACATATAGCCAATGAAGAATATGACGAACTGTTCCAATCGATTCAAATGCTTGTAAAATAAAATATAGATTTAATAGAAAAGAAAAAATAAAGCGAGAATTTACTATAGTAATTATTTAAGCAAAAAAAACGAAAAAAAAAACGAAACACAATACAAGTTAAATAAAAAAAAACCAAAGCTGAGGTTAAAATAAACGAAATAAATGTATGTAAATGTAGTTGTTAGTCTAAAAAATATTGATGAAAAAGACAAAAAAAAAAAAGAAAGAAAACGCAACTAATCAATATAAAATAATGAGAGTAAGAATATGATTAATAATTCAATTCTTTATGTACGATATGTTTGTGTTGCTATTGGGTGTTCATCACGAATAACAACATCCTGTATAACAACTTGTTCTGGTCGTCCACCATAGTTATCATAAGGTCCACGTCGAATTTCTTCAGTAACAACTTGTCTTGTTAAAGGTACTGTTTCAACAGTAACTTCTTGTGGTACTGCTGTATATTCAGTTTTAACAGTTGTTGTTACGACTTTTACTTCTGGTCCTAATTTTTTAGCTGTAAGCCATGAAAAAACAAGAATCAATGGTACAAGTAATGCAAGAATCATAGCAAGGATTGATAATACAGTTGACCAACCAATACAAGCACGCGTATTTTGAAAAACTTGATCAACATTTAGTGTTGGATTATATGGATTATAATAAACTGGTGCAACTGTTGTACGTGGAGCAGGAGCAGGTTGTGAACGTTGTTCATAAGGAACATTTTGCAAATCTGTATAAGGTCTTAGAAGCCATTCATTTGCGTTTCGATAATATTGATAAAAATGTGTTTCATTATATGGACGTTGACCAGGTGATAAAGAATATGCTCGATAAGTTTCATGTGCTTGACGGCGAAGAATTTTATGTTGTGTTGCATGATGAACTCGAGTAATTGGACTAGCAAGTCGTGAATAAACATAAGGATATGTATCAACAATTGTACGTGTTTCACGTTTAAGATAACTAAGAAGTAGAATTAGACCAATTAATAAAAATAGAAAAGCAAGAAATGATAAAGCAACACCAATTAATTTAAGTAAACCATGTAAATGTGTTGAAAGTAAAGCACAAACCAAAACAACAAGACCAAGTAATATTAATGCAGTAATTTCAAAAAAAATTATTGCATTCCAATGTGGATAACGTCGACAATGACAGTGTTCTTGTGAGACAATACGATCAGCACATGTAAGTAATGAACCTCGAAGAGATGTTTGTGATAAACATCTAGGTAAATCAATACCACCATCATCTAATCTTGGAAAACGTGTACTTGCAAGAACACTAAGTTGTTCATCATTATTAGCATAAATTTTAACATCACGTGAAAATAAACCATAACGTTGTTCAAGTCGACTATCATCATAGACATTATATTGAGCAGCACGATCCGCTGGTGTATATATTGAATGAAGATTTGTTGTTTGCCATTTCCAATGATGAGTTATAACAGCAAAAAGTTGAAGAATAAATGCTGTTATTGCTAATAATAATGCAAGAATATTTAATAAACGTATAAGATTTTTTGTTGCAATAGGATCTGCAGGAGCTTTAGCTTTAGCTTCTTTTTTAGCCGTAGAAGCTGTTGCATCTTTAGTTTTCTTTGCCATTGATTTTGTTTGCTTGCTTCTTCAACAGTGGCTTTGTTATTATTATTATTATTTCTCGTGTGGTTAAAGGAGTGGTAGTAGCAATACGTTAGTCAACGATCGATTAGCATGAGACTGTCATCGACGTCTTTGCTTGTATTCTTGGCCGCATAAACGATAGAAAAAAAAGAGAAACAGAGAAAAAAAAAAGAAAAAAAAGATGGGCGCTCGCTTTAATCTAATATCATATCTCTGTCGTTATGCATCCTTCATTTTCTCTCTTTCCTCATCTCTTCTCTTCGCACGTACAAACACAAACTATAAATTTGACCACATATAACTAACATACACAATTACTTCGCGGACGTAATTCAGGAAAAAAAAAAGATGCAAATAAGCAAGCCAAAACGAGAGAAAAAAGCAATGAAATTATGATTAATAATGCCTGTGATGCTTACTACTTCCTCTCTCTCTTGTGAGACGAATGTAGCCACAGAAAATAAGTAGATCGACTCTTGTCTTTGCTACTCAAAAAAAAAACAAGGACGTTTCTTTTTTGGGCTCTACATCTACTGCTTTTCTTCTTCCCACCTGCCGTTTAAGAAGAGTCACCGATCGATCTATCTACATATCTATCTACCCTTCAGTAAATGATCATATTCATTATACAAACAAGGTCTATTATTAGTAAAAAAAAAATGTGTTGTGTAGCAACGTGCTTATTTTAAGTAATAAATCGTTTATCTTCTCATTTTTTTTCTTTACCATGATTGCCAATAATAATCAACCATGTAAAATAAATAAGGAGAAAAATCTTGATGATTTATATAAATGAACTCGCATAACGAACATCGTGATATGCATCATTTACGCCCGAAAAAAAAAAATCTTGATACGTGTGCATACTATCACTTGATCATTATCATCATACATTTCATTTAATTAGTTTTGTTGAGCGAACGTCGATTTTAAAAAAAATGTAATAAAAGGACACAATATATCTCGAAAAACTAGTTTATAAGTTTGAATTTAACAACTATTACATTGACATGCATCTAAAAAGTTGTATATATATATATATGTATATTTTTTTTGGCAAAGACTTTTTCACCAATGTCTTATAATTATTTTGATTAATTAAGTTTTTTTCATTTCTTTTTTTATCATAGACGATAGTCTGTAAGCAATTATATGAGAACAAATCGAAGTTGATTTCCTTCAATTCAAGGAGACGAATTGATTATTTTGTTAATGATAAGAGACCTATTCAAAGTTTGTTGCTATACGAATAAGATAAACAATTATTACATTGAAGTACCACTATTGAGTTTACTAAACAAATGTAATCAGTGACAAGTAAGAAAAATATGTACAGAGAATGGCCTATTGATAGTTTTCAATCTTCATCTATGACAATAATAATAAAAAAAAAAAAAACTTGATATAAATTCAATTATTAGACGTTGAATAAACTTATACAGCTAAAGTTATTGTAAATGGTTTCATTTATGTCACATAGTTCAAATACTGATCTACTAACTTCTTTAAAAAAATTCTATTGCACACTACTTGACATATTATAACCGTTGACTTTTAATTTGATTAGTTCCAAAAGTTTGCTCACAGTCCATCAATATGATTTCCATAATTGAATTTATTCTATTTGGTTTTTTTTTCCTTGCTAGTAAAGTAAATTTAATAATGATACTAGAACTTAGTAAATTGTTTATCTTATTTATATGAAAACAAAGTTTGAATAGGTCTCTTATGATCAACCAAAATAACCAATCCATTTCATTCTATTAAAGGAAATCTATTCTGATTTGTTTTGGTATAGCTATTTATAGGTTATTCTGTAATGTATATTAAACCTATTCGATGATAGTTATATAAGAGATAGAATAACAATGTGATAGAGGAGTGAG